CGCTCTCTTCCTCTCCTACGGCTTCGAAATTCAGAATTTTATTCTTTCGCACGTCATCGTGTCGTAATACTTTTATTTCCCCATCTCTCACGTTTGCTGGTTGACACAGCGAAAGTCACTAACATGTTATGCGAGCGGTTGTTGGAGTAACAGTTCTGCTTTTTTCACACTTTGATACCCAAGTATGTATATTTCTTGCATTATCCAGGCGTCTGCAGTGGTGGTGTAAATTTTGAAAATGAACCCATTGGGGTTCATAAATGTTCTTTTCATTTTTTGACTTTGACTTAATAACGCTTCTACTCAACACAGCTTCAATGAAATGCAATTCGGTCAGCGACCAAAAGTATAGGTTTCAGAGCGTCAATAAGATACTTAGTACAGGACACGAGATATCATAGAAAAGGTGAACTTCATGCGATTGGTTAATCACAAACCGGATGAAGACCGGGTGAATGCAATGAGAGTGTGAAGGAGAATACTTACAGTGATCGTGATCAGTGCGGAGAAGCATGTGTTGGGGTAAGGGACAATGGTTTACGTAGAAAAATGAGGGTATAAACAAGTTACCACAAGGCTGGAGGGACTCATATGAGATTACACGTCAGTGGGGGGACATGAAGTCGGCGGGATGTGAAGTTTGTTTACACTGTTCGTGTGCAAATGATTATGTGGACCGGAAATCCCCGCAGTTCCAAATAACAGTGGTGGGCCGGTGATAAGATCGTCCGGACTGGTCCACGCCCGATATTTGGCAAATGGAAAAATTGAACACAGGTCGTCCGGAATCTCTACCATTAACCTAACGAGCACAGTGTGCACGATTTAGGAGCTGAAAAGGGCTAGGATTGAAGCGCGTTATCGGTTGACAAGCACGAGATGATACACATCTGTTACTAACTCCATGAGCAACCCTGCTAGGAAACCGCTTTGTAGTGGCCCGTGGTGTGGCTTACACTCCACACCAAATATCCTGCAGGGGTTTGGACAGCTTTGCGGTGTTCCAGCACTCATACGATTACTTGCGTTCGCACATCATCAAAGCGTTGGTATAAATTTCTAATGTCTAATTGATACTGTCGTGTTTGCTCACTAAAGCGTAGTCGGATTTGGGTATGATTAGAGTTGGTTCATCGCAATTAGATTCCAAATCGCATAGGTTAGCTACAAATCGGGAAAAGCACCAGACGCGCGTTTCGCCCTATTGGGGCAGGTCAGTGATGCGCATCCATCGGTTCCCCACTGGGGACCAAACCCATGACCGCTAGGGGTTAACGCCAACTAGCCAGTAGCTTATGCTGCTGAGCCGTTGTGGACGACAGACGACTATTACGAATCGAAACCTAACTGCGATATAGCCCGACCCATCCTCCACCGCCGTGCAGGTTATTACCCATACAAAGGGCGGTGGTTGCCCGTCACGGTCAGATCTTCCCTTGCCAGTGCCATGAATCCACACAACAATTTGGAATACTGGAATACTTTGTGTTTATTGCTCTGCTACTTTCAGTCATCTGGAAAGCCTTTATGTTAGTGTTAAGAAGCGCGTGGGTTGGCGCACGCAATAACTACCGCTGGTCACTGCAGTGGGCACCACGTACAAGCAGCCTGTGGATATGATGCGTATGCAATGCAGGCACTTAGACGGTCTTCTGACCAACAGCTCATGTTCTAACTGAGACACGTCGGACTGACAGTAACACGATTCCAAAAAGAAACTTGTTGATAACCCGTGCTATGTAAACTCTAAAAGTACTTGTTAAATTGCTAAATGGTCCTGATGTTAAACCACCGGAATAACGAAAGGGCAGTGGAACCGTAATGGCTCATCAAATTCACTACTCCTGCACCGAGGAGCAGGTGTTTCCAGAACCGTCCAAGGAGAAGGCGGACAAACATTAAGCCTACAACTGTTGGCATCAAAGTGTCTACTTTTTCGGTAACATGATTACTCTGATCACACTGAACCGACTAATCGCGCATATTCTGGAACCCAGCTCCATCATAGAACAGTGTGGCTTTTGATCAGATTGCAGTACAGTCGACACGATTTCCGTGACTCATCTACTGCAGAATAAAACCGATCCTTGTATGGAAGTAAGGCTACTTCAGCAAAGCATTTGAATAGATGAACGGTGAAGTATTGCAACTTGTGTCCAAATAGTTTGCTTTGTTTTTGCCCTCGATTCGCTTAACCTACTCACACCACTATTTAGCACGCGTTGGCCTATCATGTTCCCTTGCATTTTATTGGTTACAATGCGAACCTCTGTCGATTTAATTGTGCTGCGCGTGTGTGAGACAGTTTCCTCCATACCTACGTTCCGGTGCTACGCTGGTTTGGGTTTTTTTCGGGATATAACACAACTGAATTCTCGTACCTTCTGATACCCTGGTACTTGTAATCCGCTAGTTGAATATCTTCATTTGTATATGCGGGTTAATGTGCCGCTGTGCGATCAGATCACTGATGACTCTGAGGTTGTCTCGAGTAGAAAGTACAGTGGAACCCTTATCCAGGCTCTTCTTATATGTATCTAGCCGTCACACACCTAAGCGTTTGACAAGTAAGCAACTTATACTTACCCCCCAAGTGTCACATGAATGGTAGGTTTCGAAGGCTTGTCAATTTAAAATGAGAGCTAGGCGCTCTGGTGTTACTTTACAGACGAGTTTGCTTTGTTTATACATCGCGAGGATGAGCAGCAGCGCAGGATGTCAACATTGGTACTTTGGTATTGAGATTTAGGCGAGTATGCAATCTAATACACATGGGTCAGTTCAGCAAACCCGAGAACTCATAGGCGTATTAGCAAAGAAGCTATGTTGAGTTCGAAACAAATAAGTTTAATGGGTAGAAGCGAGCGAGACAATAAGAATCTGTTTCTAAATTTATTTTGTAATTGGCATGTAGGTTGCATCTGTTTCATTATCTATGCTGCATCGTAGCATCATTTAAACAATATCTATAACTTCGGTGGTGTATTTCCCATATTTGTCTTCAGTCGCACTATAAATGGCTGCGTGCGATGTGAACGTTAACAAGATACCTGCCCGTTCATTTCGGCCATCCAAGTTGCAGTCTCCAGGAGACTTTCTCGCTTCCAGGCGATGTACGGCCTTAATTATGGTCCAAACACTAGCCTGTCTGCATCCGGTACACACAATTTAATCAGTTTTGGACTCGCGACGTGATCATGGCAAGAGCCTCGGCCGAAACCAAGGCAGTCATTGTGTTGGTAGATGATCGATGTGTGTTGTACAGTGTAAATGAAGCTTGGCTTTAAAAATAACAGATTTTGTTTGTTGTCCACACTTTGTTTTGACTTTTGGGAGTCTGCGGACAGTCATGATCTCACTCAGATGCCTCCTAGACTTATTGGTGGGCTCCTTTTGAAGACCTCGTTGTGTGATTGGATTGCCAGGCGCAGTCCCAATTCACATTGAAGTGAAATTTGGCTAATTCGACCACTGGGAGTGTCTTTTCGGGAGGGCAGTGCCCAATTTCCACGTGCCACTTAGAGTCGTTTCTGCTGGATTGCATTAGATTTGAGTCCTGTGTATCTGAAGATACCTTATTATTGTCGCAGTCAGAGAAATGGCCAAATTTAGAAACAACCCTTCTTGCCTTACTAACTGATGCAAATAAACTGAATTGGTTGACTAGCATAGGTCGATCTTGACATCGTTCGTTGTGAACACTAACTGATAGGTGTGCACTCTCATTAAGCACTTTAATGAGTTGATGTAAAGACGGACAATTCACATCGATCTAAGCAATTGTCTTACTCCAGTGGCACAACGCTGCCGATTTCCGTTTGTTCTCTGTGGCGATTGAGTTGATTAAGTCCTTTCTTTTGTCATCGGAAGCATCAGATATTACGCCTGCGTTTTACGGCCGTTCTTTACCACAGTGCTTTAGATCCACCGTTTCCCTCCTAACGTAATTCCATTGCAATATTTCAATGGTGTTGAACTAGTGTTCACGTAGCGCATCAGTTTTGATAGACCAAATATTAGGAATTACCATTCGCCTTCCCTATCCCATCTGTAACCGATAGGTGACAGGTAGTACATACCTGTAGCTACCCGAAATCTAATTTCAATCCTCTAGTTACACCGTTATTACGGCTCACTTCAAGCTAATTCACTCTGTTCTACTGCTTCCCTTCGTTCATTCATTCATCACATTCATTTAACACATGGCTGTTTGATAAACTGCGGTACTCAGCTTCGTTCCTGCTCTCCTGTTCCGTTCACCTCTTGTTATAACAAAAATATAATGTTATTCGCTTTTCGTTACCTGTATTCAATTACCTGCTCATTTCTGCAGTGGTATTTACCAGTCCAATATATTATAGGTTGCCGAGATGTAAACCTCGTTTTCAGTGTGATTTAATCGTTTGAGAATTTCTTTGAAGTTGACAACCACCTACTTATGTTACTGTTTTTAAAAAAGCATCTTGTATTTCTTATGTACATGCTTGTGAAACCGCCCTAAACGATAGCTAATAGACAGTCGCCGCTTTGGACGCTCTGGTGAGTGCCTTCTGGCCGATAATTCATCAAATGCTTTTAGCTTAGCAGGTGCGTATTCCAAAATGGTTGTAGATTCTGGGCATAAAACTGTATTTCTTGGGCTTTGCAAAATTTTGTTTGCCACAATCTACCGAAATTAAGGAAGTTTGGACCACTGTCTGAAATCCTTAACCACATCTCGATCTGCTGATACTCTCAATGATTGCTCGCAGAATTTTATTCGGATGCTTTTGAAAAGTACACATTATTGGATATACATCTTTACAGCAACATATTGTGACACATGAAGGGATATCACTTCCGTACTTTATTCTTTAGCATTCAGTGGCTTTCTCTAGTATCCAAATACGGGAGCCCGTATTTCGTTGAAGACCTTGGTTTCGGGCGACACAACTTGTGAATCCACGATGCCTTAGTACCTTCGTGGAGCACCAAAATCATTCATTCAAAAAGTACTTCACGTTGGTAATCCCATAAGTTCCTATGGGCTGAGTTTTGTCCAGAGACTGTGATCATCGCATGCATTTAGGCACCCATATTCAATTCCAAACGCAAAAACCGCACGAAATTTCCTTCAGGTTTTTCATAAGCCGTCCATTCGCTGCTGGGCAATGTGTCAGCTCTAGGCGCTTTAGGCTTGGGTGCTGAATAAGTGTGTATAATCCTTCCTCGGTTATGCGCTTACAACCTAAAGGAGAGGATAGACGGAAAACAATTGTTACATATGGTATCATCGACACGCGAACGACTCACTACTCGGGATAACCGCAGCATTCAATATACTTTTAAAGCTTCCAGAATTTAATGTTGGAACTTGTATTACTCTTGATTTGGTCTCTCGCGGTTTGTAGGAATACCATAACCAAGGTTGCAGACAGTGAAAAAACATCGTTAAGTATGTAGTGTGGTTCTCGCTGTAGAATAGTGTGGAACCACTACGTACGCTGTTAAAGCTGCTAAAAATCGATCACGAGGTTACATTTCACACGCTTCAAGTTATTTTGGCTTTAGTTATGAGTAAACGAATATCTATGAAAATTTTTGAATGCTATACAGCAAGTTACAGGCCAGATATTCAAAACGCGAATCCGAAAGAACGCTAGATGGACGTTTCATCCTATGAAACTCGCCAGTGATGCATACTGCTGACCCCATCAATAACCGGAGAAATGAATACTAGCATTTAGTCTCATGTAAAGACTTTAACTCTTGCAACCTAAATAGATGTTGCGTCAGCCAGGCTCTGTTAATATGCACATTGCTACCGTTGCAGAATACAGTGGCTGACACACATGCGGTCACGACATCCTACACTGGTAGCTAGGTACGCTTCGAATTTTAGGATTACTATGGGGCATTACTGGTTACCACTGGTAATTAATGGATTGCTTTGGGATGACGTAATCAAATCAATATAAGTTCAGCCGAATTCCCAATACTCATTAGTAAAACGATCCATAGTAACGGCAATCAAACGAAGAGTTCTAGTTGACAGTGGAAGGGCCAGAGCACCTCACCCCCACAAGCGGATAAGCTTCCAACATACTAGCTTACCCTCCTCCAACCATGGATGCTTCGCCTAGAGATTCATCCACGACACCGTCAGCTTAGTACCGGAGGAAATCCGATGCAGAAAACAAGCGGGCAAAGTACGCATCGGTCGTCTCGATAAACATCAGGAGCGACACATGTAAGTCCATCTACTTTATCGAGCAAAACGTGGGCGACGCAGCTTTCACTGTCCAATCCAGTGGTACCTTCTACACCGCCCAAACTACTAGCAACAACTTTAAAACTGACGCTGGCTACAAAAACCACTCTGCGTTAATTCTGGTGTGCACTAACGTTCCCGAGTCAAAAACTGGCCCAATAAAAGGCAAGTTACTAGGCGATCGCAGCCAGTGGAGTTCCATCTGCGATGCCATTGGTATTCGGGTTGAGCACACTATGCTGAGACGCGTAGCGCATCACCCGACCTCAATGCAGGCTGGTGAACCTCGAATTATCCGAGTATCAGTGAACACAACGAATGAGACAGAGGCTGTCCTGCTCTCAGCAGTTCATCTCCGCAACTCACTGAGCGGGGTGCACATAGTATCCGATCAACCTTGGCATGATCGCCCAAAAGAAACGAGTAACTAAGGCGGCAGTCCTAAAAGCGATAGCAGGAAAACAGTCTATGTTCATGGTGCGCCCGAGTTTCTGGATTCTCCTGGTCACGATGCGCAAACACGTGAACGACAGTAGTGGTGCTACGTTTGAGAAGCAGTCTTGCTGAACGATGTTACTGCTAAATCATTACTAGGATTTGATTCATCACCTAACTTCTACGGCTGCGGTTCAAGGCTGATGAAAGTAGTACTACACTCCGAGGGAATGAAGCATGTTCTATCGGCTAACTAGTTAAAGTTTCGAGCCAGGTTGCCAACAGAGATCCGGTTAAAGGCAGCAAGCGCACGATCACGAGTGGTCAGCAGTTCGATGTAACTAGCAACCGCAGTAAGTATTTTGCCTGCACGGTTCTGCGGAGAGATCAAGACAACAGCACTCCCGACACATAACAGGACAATGCGCAACATGAGCGAAACTTTTGATCAGGAACACTCCACGGTGTCTTGCAAAATGACCGAAATTCATAAACAAAGAAACAATTAAAGGTCGGCCACCTACCTAACAGTCGGCGTAAAAATAAACTCAAATTTGACGTCAGTCAACCCACTCCTAACACTAAGAACACAATCCTGTGTGTACCCAAAGGCACAGTTTGACCGAACTCAGAGAACTATATGCCTCACATCCGCGTGACCACGCTATGGTTACAGAGACCTGCTTAAAACTTGAGATGACGGATTGTGTGATCAATTTACTGGGTATGTTGTTGCTTCGGAAGGATAGAATTGGTGTGCCTTTCTCTATTATAAGGTAAATTTCCGAGTGAAGTTATCGATCAACCGGAAATCTGCGCCCGTTATTCGCTTCAGTGCAGGCTATGGTTGCGGAACAAGAACACAGGTCTACTATCAGTAATTTACCGCCCATCAAACTACCTTCTAAATGGACTCCACATTGAACCACAGTATTCAGGTTGCTTGGAACAAGTCAACTAGTCACAATCTCATTGCAGGCAACTTTAATGTGCAAGACCTGAAAACGCCAGCGACGGATGTTGCGAAGTATAAATGCTGTTTGCAAAAGCTAATTTCTAACCACGCTCTGTACAACCATGTGACCTCTCTCAACAGATTTTGAACTGCTAACAAGCTATCGATACACAAGCTTATGCACACTAACAACGAAATAATGGTCGACGGGATAGTTACAAGCACGCCACTGGGTCGTACTAACCATGTTACTCTAAAATTTGACTATATATGCTATGAGTAATATCCTGAAAAAGAGGCTGATAATGTGCATAACGTCTCTGACTACAGAGTGTTGTATACGCATGTTAAGGATAAATCGTGGACTTTATTAACCGAATGCTCCCCAAGACCTCACTTGGGAAACGTTCCCAAGGAACTTTGGCACACTGGTAGCACATGCATCTGAACAGAAATCCTTCTATCATCAGCACCATACACGCTAGATGCAGGTGGAAAACCCCTCAGCTGTTCTGTTACAATCCAAAGGAAAAGAAAAAAGTAAAACTGGCATGCCGGTGGGGTCACCAGTAACGGATGGACATTGTTCCGCCGATCTAACAGGAGGCTATTGTGCCGCAGACAATTATCTAATACCTATTAATTGAGATCATGCTTGGAGAGGGAGGCTAAGCGGAGGGGATGGACAAAGGAACTTACACCACAAACTCCATTGAGGCCTGCTCCTAGCTTTATTAACAAGCGTATCCAACCAAACGTGTTCATCGTCTTGCGGTTCCCAACCAGGAAGCCGAGATGCACCAAGCGAAGCCAACTTCGAAGTAACGGCCTTCATTCCTCTTGGCTACCTCACCACTTCTTCCATCCGCACACATGGTGCGCAAACAACGCACGTCGTGGAAGTCGGTGGGCTCGCATGTGCAACAAGTGGCCCCGTCACCGGAGCCTGGTGCGTGAAATAACAGTACTGAGTGGTTCGCTTCTTCTGCCTGCGCCATAAACAAGGCATCGAACACGCTCAGAACTTACGCGGTGTCCTTACCAGATTGGAGCCAAACTGCGAAGGTACCAATGGACGAACGTAACTAGCCACTTTATGTCCACTGATCTTAGGGGCCGGGTTCACAATCGCACAGTAGGGTCGAACATATGGCTGCATTGTATACTCTACTTTTCAGGGGAGAGTGCTGTCCCGCCGGCGCAGTAGGTGGCGAAGGTTAGCAAAAGCGTCTCGAGCTTTTGTTATACGGTTTGTGACTTCGTCTTCACTTCCAACGGCACTGATACAACTGCTAACATAGTTGAACTTTTGGGCGACTTCTGGCTGATCCCCATCAAGGGTCAGTGCAGGAGGCGGTCCCTGCCAACCTTAAAGGAAAGCATTGAACTTGGAGGGTACATAGTATAGCACAAAACGGGTGACCGCCAGTGCTAATCTGTCCAGTGCCGCTTGGCACATTTTGGAGCTTTCACAGATGAGGGTAATAACGTCAGCATAACCCAAGTCAAGAAGTCGTTCATCTGAGAGCAGCCCCACACCTTCTAAATGGTATCCTAGGAAAGCAATCTTCATGGCCTTGTTAATAGCGAAGTTGAAGAGGAAAGCTGACAGTGCGCATCATTGTCTTTCACCACTGAAGATATTGATGTGCGGCGACAGTTTGCCGTAAGCACGAGTTACGCGCGTAAAGCGATCGCATATTATTTACATAATTCTCGGGCACACCTTTCCTTTGCAGAAACTCCCAAAGAGCACATTGATCTACTGAATCGAAGGCACCTTTGATGTCGAGGAACACGACAACTGTGGGCCGCCAAAATATGTGACGTTGCTCCAACAGCTGACGTAAATTGAATATGTGGTCGATGCATCCTCTGCCTCGACGAAATCCGGCTTGCTCCTCACCAATCTGGCTTTCACCTTCGTCAGTCAGTCTGTGCAGGATGACAGAGGCAAGCAATTTGAAGGTGATGGGGATCAGACTGATTCCTCTATAGTTGCCGCATTCCGAACACGAGCCTCTTTTGAAGATCGTGCCAATAACGGAGAGGCTGTAGTCGGTTGGGACCGATTCCTGCTCCCACAGTTTTACTAGTAATTCGTGTAAATCAGCAAAAAAAGCAGGGCCCTCAAATGTTAAGTGAGTTAGATGTAGAGCCTCTGGTCCCGCAGCTTTATTCAACATCAACAGTCCGATTGCACGTTCGACTTTTGAGCGGGAGGTTGGATTCAAAGGGGAAACCCAAAGAGTATTATGATCACTGTCCGGTGAGGCATCTAAAAATTTCGGTCGATTAAATTGTTTTTCAAAATCTTTATCGCAACGCTCCAAAAGTTTTGCCAAGTTGTGAATGGACTGTCCAGTCTTGTCTCAATAACATTAGGCTTCCTGCTGCAAGTTTCCCGTACCAGACGGAACAACTTCCAATGGTTGCCATGGACAGCGGCCACTTCCATCTCTGACGCACGATGAGACCACCATGCTTCACGGTCTCTCTCCAGGCTAGCACGGAGTTTTGCCTTGATGCCTTTGTGAGTCTCGTTGTGTTCGCTTCAAGCCGGAATGTGCCGGAGAGTATCGATAAG